TTCACAGACAGACAGGAAGTGATGTAGCTGGGCAGAAACAGGATATAAGCAGGGAGAAACAGGAAATCGCTCTCTTCTCTGCTAATATGCTTAGGAGGTAAGGTGTGCTGTGGCTTGCTCCTTCTCTCTGATCTCTCAGCGTTTCCCTCTGTATCTGACTCCCGGCCTTTTATTATCTAGACCAATTGTGGACTCTTTCTACAGGCTATTCTAAAGTGACCTGGCTCCCCCTCAGCGTTTTCTCGTCCCCTATCTCACTATGTAATCTCTCTGTCTTGTTCAACGCCTCACACGATGCTGTCCACCTTGTGAGCCACCATGTGGATGCTGGGAATTGAACCCAGGACCCTCTGGAAGAACAGTCAGTGCTCTTAACCTCCGAGCCATCTCTCCAGCCCCCTCCATCCACTTTGTAACGTATCTAGAAGACCCGGAGCCGAACAGACGTAGGGCTGTGTTCTTGAAGCTTGCAAACTGAGGGGGAGAAAGCCCAGTTACTTCTCTACGGCTGGGTAAAAAAATATCACGACCAGGGCAACTTACAGAAGGAAGAGCTCGTTTGTGGCCATGGTTCCGGGGGGGTTAGAGTCCGTGCCGGCAAAGCAGCGGCAGCAGCTGGCGCATGCGGCTGGGAGAGACGCCGAGAGGCCACGTCTCAGACCACAGATTGGCAGCGGAGAGCATGCTCAAAAAGAACCGAGTCTTCTGAAGCCTCAAAGCCCACCCCCAGTGACGTACTTCCTCCAACAAGGCCACGCCTCCCAGTCCTCCCCAAACAGCCGCCTACTGGGGTCCAAGTATTCTGAGACTTATAGGCACATCTCAAAACAAAACAAACAAAAATATAAGCAGCTTGTGAGTGTGTGTGTGTGTGCGTGTGTGTGTAGTATGCGTGTGTGCATGTTCACAGGCGTGTGGGGGTGTCTGCAACTGAGCACGTGTCTTCTGTCGCCCTCCACCGTGTAGACTGAGGCGGGGGTCCCTCGTTGAACCTGGAGCTCACTGTCTCCAGTGGTCTCCACAGCCAGCTTGCTCTGGGCTTTCCCGTCTGCATCGTCTGAGGTTGTAAGGGAATCACCATGCCTACCTGGATTTTATGTGAGCTCGGGGGATCTGCTCTCCACCCCCATGCTCGATGAACAAATGTTTCCCCGGCTCCTGAACAGTGTTGTTAGTCTGCGCTTCCAAATCTCACAGGAGACCCTGTCTCTCAACAGACAACACAGTACATGCGTCAGAGCAGCTCCAAGCCTGCTGGGATTGTGAATGGTTGTTACATAAAGCAGGAGATGACGACAGATAGACAGACAGACGATAGACATGATAGATAGGTAGATGATAGACAGCTAGGTGACAGATAATAGACAGACAGACAGATACACAGATAGATTAATACACAGATAAAGGTTATTGGTAATCTTCTAAATCTTAATCTATGGTGTTAGAAAATTAGGACATCATAACCTTGAGGACAGGATGACTGGGCGGGGGAGTTGACCATAGGCATAGTTCATCCGGGCACTGCGTATTTACATGTGTTCATTTTATATAAAAATTGGTCAACTGATTGTCTCTGTATGTATGCACATAAATGTTTAATTTTTAAAACATTTTGGGTCTGTACTTTTATTTTGTGTTTTTGGTTTTGGGGTTTTTGTTCTTTTGTTTTGAGACAGGGTTTCCTGGCTCTCCTGGAACTCACTCTGTAGACCAGGCTGGCCTAAAACTCACAGAGACTCATCTTGCCTCTGCCTCCTAAGTGCTGGGATTAAAGGCGTGCACCACTATAGCCCAGTGAGTTTCTTTTTTTTTTTTAGCTTTATTTTTATTTTATGTATATGCATGTTTTACCCACATGTATGTCTGTGTGCCATGGGCATCCCTGGTTCCTACACAGGCCGTATGAGGGCATCAGGTGCCCTGTAGGCAACAAACCCAGGTCCTTTGCAAGCACAACTGTAGGGGTGAGCCCACAATGCTGTCCAAGTTTTAACCGCTAAGCCAGCCCTCCAGCCCCACAGATACTTTTGAACAAGCATCACCCATGCCGTGTGGAGGGGCACACCGCTAATCCCACCGTTCAGTGAGCAGAGGCAGGTGGATCTCTGTGAGTTTGAAGCCATCCTGGTATACCTAGTGAGTTCTGTGCCAGACAGGGCCACATACATAGTAAGAGCCTGTCTGAAGAAACAAATAAACAAGCAAGCAGACACGCCATTCCGAGGGGCCAGGTTAGTGGCAGAGTGAGTCCACACTATTGTGCAGAACGGGCACTTTATGAATCACTCAGTTCCCATCTTCCCGCAGCTCCTGTTCTTTCTGTGCCTCTGAATTTGACTAGGATTTTTGTGAGAACAGAACCACGCACCGCTTGTCTCTTGGTCACTGGCTTGCTTTCCTTGGCATTCACGTTTCGCCTGTGTGTTAGCGATTGCCGCAGCTCGCAGGTTGAGCACCCTTCTTTCGTATGTGTCTGGACCGCATCCTGTTTGTACCTGTGCTGGTGGACACTGCGTTTTCAGCTGCAGCGGCCGATGTCATGAGCATGGATGTCCAGATTCTTCTCCATACCCTGCTTTCAGTTCTGCATGAGACTCCTGGATGTGGGATCGCTAGAGACGCATGCACATTGTATGTGGATGCTAACCCTTCAGAAAAATTAGCTTTACACACTGATGGATGGTGTCACTAAAGGCTCCTGTTAACGAGTATAGGGTCAACCTGGGCACTGGGCACTGTAATGGCTCCTGTGGGTTTGTATTTGTCCGTAGGAGGTGTGACCTAACACAGGCGGTTGTACGTTGTATAGATGGAAGTTGCTGTGCAGGGACAGTGTTCAGGGCAGCCCCTGGTGGGTGTATGGCTAAGCTTCAGGCTCGCCTATCACGTGGTCATGTGGATTACAGCGGTTTGTCCACCAGTGTTTGTGTTTCCAGCGACTGCGGGTAAGTGGAGACTTCACACCAGCCGTGTTCACTTCAGCCTCGGACAGGAGTGCTTGACAGGGCGGGTTTATGTACAGCCTCGGAGTAGGTGGGTGTCATAGTAGGGAAAACTGGGAGGGTCTCCCGAACACACGTACAAAGGATTTCTCCCACAACTGTGTGTGTGTGTGTGTGTGTGTGTGTGTGTGTGTGTGTGTGTGTGAGAGAGAGAGAGAGAGAGAGAGAGAGGGGGGGGGGAGGGAGGTGGGAAAATGTGTGTGTGTGTGTGTGTATCAGAGGGGGGAAGGAGGTGGGGAAAAAGAGATAGAGAGACTGATTTAAAACTCTCTACCAAACAGAAACCTCGTTTAAAATCAGCTCGCCCTAGAAGGTGTCTGTGTGGACTGTCAGCCAATCAGACTGTATTGTGACCTAGTTAAATAGATACTTTTCAGCAACACCATGACAGGAAGGCAGAGTTCAACCTTGGTGCCGTTGACATTTGGAGCTGGAGAATTCTTGGATATGGGGAGCTGTGCGTTTTCGGATATTCAGCCACATCTCTGGTCCCCAAGGACAGTGGCACTCCAGCCTTGGCTGCATCTCCAGGTATTGACAGAGGTCACATGAGGGCAACCCAGCTCCCTCATCTAAAAAGTCACTGCTGAGAAGGAATGGGGATCTCCAGGAATGAAAAGAATTCTTTGGTTTGTGTGTTTGTTTTTGTTTTGCTTTTTTTTTTTTTTTTTGAGACAGGGTTTCTCTGTGTAGCCTTGGCTGTCCTGAATGCCCTCTGTAGACCAGGCTGGCCTCCAATTCAGAAATCCACCTGCCTCTGTCCCCCGGAGTGCTGGGATTAAAGGCGTGTGCCACCACTGCCTGGCTTAGGAGAGAAATTTTAAAGCAGAAAACACCAAGGCTCTTAGGCCTGGATAAGGCTGATGTCTTTGTAACTCCCAGAATGCATTTGCTTCTCTGTCCCAGAAGCACAACCACCTCTCTCCCCTTAACAATTTTTTTTTTAGAGATAAGGTCTCACTATGTAACCCAGGCAGACCTTGAATTCATGACCATCCTCCTGCCTCAGCCTCTTGAGGGCCAGAATTTCAGGCAGGAGCCAACATGCTGGACCCAGCAAACATTCCCGGCAGTGAGAGACATGCTTCAGCGGAACAGCAGGCGCGCACGAAGCATCCCCGAGCTCTCCGTGGGAGCTGTGCGCCTGGGCATTAGCCTACTTTCTTCTCAGCGCTTACTGCTTCCAAAGTATGAAGCAGGGCAGGCTATCCTGAGAGTCTCCTCCTCCTCCCCTGGCAAAGGTATGTTCGTGGTACCCAGTCATAAGCACAGCTCGTGCACTAAAGCATCGCACCGTTCACCACGCTTCAGATAGCACAGACACCGGACGGTGGTGGCGCACGCCTTTAATCCCAGCACTCCAGAGGCAGAGGCAGGCGGATCTCTGTGAGTTGGAGGTCAGCCTGGTCTACAGAGCGAGTTCCAGGACAGCCAGGGCTACACAGGGAAGCCCTGCCTCTGAAAACAGACAATAAAAGGATAGCCACAGACACCCCTCAAGTGTTTCCATTCAGAACTGTTGCTGGGGGTGGAGGCATGTTCTCAGGGGACGTTGTGTCGCTGCTGGAGAACCAAGAGGCCTGCTTTGAAGATGATTGACAGGGATCTTGGTCCCAGACGTGCAAGCCACCCTCTTCTTCTCAAGGCCCCCTGGCCGCCTTAGAAGAGATTTCCCCACGTTGTGCTAAGTGACAGAGGCTACGGAGGTCCCCTCTGACTCCTTCCACATGCAGCCTCTGTTTCATCAGAATAACGGGACCCAGCCCCACGGTGAGAGGTTGCAGGCCGGGGAGCCATCCCGGGGTGCAGCAACCCCCCTCCCTGGCCCGGCTCGCCCACGTCTGCCCCGCACCCCGCGGGCGGTCATCTTCCCAGGAGAGGAGTCGTGTAAACAAAGCTCTGGGCTGGGAGCTTGGCTCGCATTTAACGGAGGATGTGTACCGGCTTCCAGGGCTCCTCGGCCCACAAACCTTTACCACTGTACAAACTGAGCTCGACTGTTTGCTTAAGTGGCTTTATTGACTCGGGTCCCGCCTCCTGGGCAGGTGGCCTGGCGGCCTCTCCGTCATTGTTCCGCCTGGCTCCCCCGCCCCCCACCCCTCCCAGGGTCACCGAGGCCTCCCTGATGAAGGTGGCCTTTCTTTATTTCATTTGGGGGCGTGGGGGGGGTCCTTGAAGAGTCAGGCAATCAACTGGCACAGGTGTAGTATTTCGTTCTTAAACAGGCGTCATTCGCTCCAGTCCGGATTTCCAGCCAGCGGTGGGGTTTGTTGCATAACAGGTGCTTTTTTCCTGGTCCCTCTTGATGAACGCAAGGCTGACCTCTGCAAGCTGTGCTGTCCTGGCCCTAGTGCGTTAACTCTTTGTGACCCCGGGGCTTTATTTGCCAATGGCTTCCAAAGAAGCTCAATGAATGGGTCATTAAGATGAGCCTCAGACCACCTACCAACCTCCCAGGGAGCCTGGCTTCGCTGTGGATTCAGCTCAAAGTGGCAACCTGGAAAAAGAAAAGAAAGAAACACTGAGAAAAGATATTCCTTGTTCATCCTGACGAAATTACCGGTTATTATGTTTCCAACCCCCCCTCCAGTGCTATCACTGTACTTTGATAGACAGGGAGAGGGAGGGTTAGAGAGGTCATGTGACTTAGTGAGCCCCCCCCAATCGACTGCAGGCAGAGCATGAATTAGAGGCCAAGTCCATCCGATCCAAACCGGGCCACGCCTCAGCTCTCCGTGTGACTGAACACTCACCAGCTTGGAGAGAAGGAAACGCCACCAGACCCGAGTCAGGCGTCAGCCCACGGAGTGACGTGGTGGATGGAGCCGTGGTCCTGAGGGTTGGTGTGCTGCCACAGTCACCTTGGAGGCTTCTCGTAACAGCGCGCGTGCGCGCGGAATGATGGTCTCTCTTCTCTGTGGCCACAACTGCCCTTGGACAACTCCTTCAAGCTTTTTAGAGGGTGGGACTCACCTGCCACCTGATCCTGTGGCAAGTGAAGGAAGCTGGGAGCAGGACATTGCACACGCATAGCAACGTGCACACGCATAGCAACGTGCACACGCGCTCCCACTCACCCGTGACACAGACAGGTGCATTTGCCTGCACAGACACATACTTCCGCCATGCATGCCCATGCCTCTGTATATATGCACACACGTATAATGCATATGTATGTATGTACCCCTATACATACATGCATACTCGTGTTTTCACATGAACTCGTATCCACACACCCACCCCATACACTCCCACGCATCCACCCTCCGCAGATTCACGCACACACTCGTGCTTGCGTCCATGCTTCGCACATGTGTACATGCTTCGCACATGTGTACATGCACCCTTGTGATCACAAATGTCCCCACTCTCAGGAAACTCACACGTCCGTGCTCACACACCCCTTTACACACACCCTTGCATTTGCACACACGTATGACGCCCTCAGTCTTTTCTCTTTCCTGCGCTTTCTGAAAGTGAGTGTCGCACCCTGGTGCAAGGTCAGGAAGTCAGCACCCAGCATCCGTGAACTGAGGGTGAACCGTGGTGAGCCTCTGACTTTCTGAAGTCGCCTGGACTAATCCTACTCCTTACAGTGAGGACCGGAGACCTCCTGTAAAGAAACCTGGCTCCCTGCTCTAACTTTAATTGCCCCCCCCACACACACACCCGCGGTATTCATCCCCCTACCCCCCCCCACCGAGGTATTCATGGTCAGGTATTTCTCACCAGGCGCTTTTCACAGATCAGCCTTTGGAGCCATGCACGCTGGCTCGGAGTAGTGTGACGGTGGTACTGATGCAAGCCTTGTCGAGTCGTGAGTGCTACACAGACGGTTGTGTGTGAAACCGATGGACTAGTGGGACACACGTGTTCGAAACTATGAACTACCAATGGCTTGGTTTGCTCTTAGCCAGCGACGGTAAACGTTAACCTCTGCCTTGGCTAGAGCCCTTGATACAGCACCGTCTCTAAGGAGACGCTTGGCCTGCCTCTGAGCGCTTTCTCTTTGGATGGTAGAAGTCTAAACACCCTCACACTTAAAAAGGCGCCATGTACGGGGAGATATGGCCCTGCATCCTGCCTGGTCTCAGAGCATCCTTGACCCCCCTGGATGATGAGTGATAAACCAGCTACCCTGGTCGGCACGGCAGCATCACCGCCTGGTGAAAGGCCCCCGGGGTTTGCACAACAAGCAGGATTCCATCTCTAGGCTCAGCTTCCAAGGGCAGAACCCTTAAAGTCCTGGAGAAGCTGTGAGGTTATTTAAGAGCTCGCAGGCCAATGGCACACTGCTTCCTTCTGTCCCCTACCTCGCCCCCCCCCCATCAAGGCTGAGACTAGTGTCCAGATCATGTGATGGCCTCTGTTCTCATTCTGTGAACCCCTCTGTCGAAAAGTCCCCGGGGCAAGCAAACTGCTCCTCCATCTGCCTTCCACCCCAGAGTCAGGTAGGACCAGCATCAGCAGAGCCTCTGCCTTAGAATCCCAACTATGTCCTTATCAGGTCACTCATCGCATCAAAGGCGGGGACCAGAAAGGCCATTTACAGCCCCCTAAGTTCCTCTTTTCTCTAACAGATTGGGGTGGGGTAACCCTGTGGTTCCCTTTACAATTTGTTTTCTTGTTTCAGTTGATGTCCAGGTTTACAAAATAGTTCCTTTCTATCCCGGGGAGAGCTGGAATGGTATTCACCGAGGGTGGCAGGAGGGTAACCTTTATATTGATTTCTTCTCCATCTTCCTCTGAGTTGATTAACTAAAAAAGTGAACATGCACCTTCCTCGCTCCAGTGAAGGGGGCTGGAACTCAGGGCCTCGTACGTGCCAGATAAATGGCTACAACCCTCGTCCCAAACTAAAGCTATTTCAAAAACAATGTTTTTTAAAAGCACACACGGAAGGGGAGGCCGGAGAAATGGCTCAGCAGTTAACGTTGGCTGCTGCTACACAGGGACCAAGCACAGTTCCCAGCACCCACACTGGGTGGCCCCTACCACCTGCAAATGTCCATCTCACTGGGCAACCCCTCGGCACACACAGGTAAAATGAAAATAAATCATTAAGAGGCGCACACAGTGACCTGAAAATAAACCGTCAAGAGCTTGCTGGGCTTTATCCAGATGCTGTAACCTTACACCGCGTTTCTCGTCTCCGTTTCCATAACCCTCCAGGAGCAGAGCAATGCAGCTCGCACACGGAGGGGCAGCATTTTATTGTGAGCCCCTGCAAGGCATGTTTAGAAGTGAAGATGGAGTTCCTCTGGGCAGGGAGACAGCATTTGCCATCTCAGAAGACGGAAATGTATTATTCGCTCACAAAGCTCTTGTGTAAATCACCTAGTGGGCTTTGCTTTTTAGGTACCATTTAGGTCTCAGGCAGGAAAAGACTCTAGTGGTTGCAGAGTAGGTTCCTTCCAGCATCTTTAAAAGGAAAATGGTGCTTCTAGAATTTTCTGCTTTCCCATGGAGAGCGTCATCAGGTACACATTAGATATATATTAGCAGGGTTGATTTCAACAATGTGTTTTGTTTTGTTTTGTTTTTTAGCTAGGGTCTTACAATGTAGCCCTGACTGGCCTGGGACTTACTAAATAGACCAGGCCAGCCTTGAACTCCTGCTTCTGCCTTCCGAGCACTGGAATTAAAATCCTGGACCACCATGACTGACAATCCATGTATCATAAACATCTAACTCAACTCTGCCGTTGAGACTCTCTTATGCAAACATCACCCTGGTACAGAAGGAGACTTTACCAGCATCCCTCAAGTATTCCCCATCCACTAGCCCCCCCCACCCCAGCATAGCCGTAATCTTGCGAGTTACATACTGTACATAGATATAATACTTCTTTTGATGTGGCGTCTTTCCATTCACACTCATGCTTGAGAAAGGCATGGATTGTACGGCAGTCTCCTGGGGGCACAGTCTATGGTGGGTGGTGCTCTGGGTAATGTGCAATTTCGAGCTCTTGTGTAGGCTGTAGGGGTTGTCCTGTGGTGAACACACCTTTGCATCTCCTTGGGTAGGTGCACTGGAGAGAAAGGTCTGTGCAAACATTCACCTGTACATACTAGACACCACTAACAGGGACCATGACCCATTTACATCCCCCTTAGTCTTTTTTTTTTTTTTTTTTTTTTTTTTGGTTTTTCGAGACAGGGTTTCTCTGTGGCTTTGGAGGCTGTCCTGGAACTCGCTCTGTAGACCAGGCTGGCCTCGAACTCACAGAGATCCGCCTGCCTCTGCCTCCCGAGTGCTGGGATTAAAGGCGTGCGCCACCAATGCCAGGCCCCCCCTTAGTCTTGTATGGGAATCTTGATGGAACTGAAATGGAGAATTCCCGTTTTTTGCAACGTTTGTGCTGGACCATAATCCTAGAGAGGGTGAAGCCCGAAGAGTCCAAAGCACCATTCACATTCCCCCCCCCACATTTTATTTTAGGATCAAAGCACCCCATGAAACAGACATCGGCACATCATGGCCTTTATTCCGCCAGGGATATAAAGCATGAATGCTTCTTCTAGGAGACCCACGAGGCTCCTCTGGCTCACAGTAGCCCAGGGCTTGGAATTTAGGTCCACAGCCGATCTGTGAATTCCTTGGGGCCTGTGGGACAGCTGAATTCATATGCCTGCATCTCTATCGCATTGCTGGCTTCCAAAGGCAGAGTTTGATTAGAATCTTCCCACCCCTTAGGCATTTAATGCATTCCCTCTGTCCTTTTTCCTCTTACCTGCTGTTAGTTTATTGTGTAGACTAGAACTGTCAAACTTCCAGGGGGAAGAGTAAGTTTACCACCAGACATGCACACACCCACATAGACATCTACACACAAAATAAAAATTTTAAGTGTAACTTAAAAAAAAAAAAGAAAAAAGCCCAGGCGTTGGTGGCATATGCCTTTAATCTCAGCACTCAGGAGGCAGAGGCAGGCAGATCTCTGTGAGTTCGAGGCCAGCCTGGTCTACAAGAGCTAGTTTCAGGACAGCCTCCAAAGCCACAGAGAAACCCTGTCTCGAAAAACAAAAAACAAAAACAAAAACAAAAAAAAGAAAGAAAGAAAGAAAAGAAAAGAGTATGTATGATAAGTGTCCTTTGAATGAAAAAAATCTGAATGGAACCAATGTGTATGTTCCAGTCTTCAAAAGGAAAAAAAAATGCCCTGTTTATTTTCACCCACGGTTTCCAGGTGCTTCATCTTCTCTGGGAAATCGGTGTAGACTTGTGAGTAACGAGGACATTATTAGCACCCCCAGAGACTGGGTTCTCAAGGACAGGAAGCTCATTGGCTAGGCGATCCCAACAGTTTCCACCAGGAGAGGTCCAGGCAGCTGCTAACCAGGCTCACTGCTCTTACAAGGGTTTACACTAGCAGCGCAGGGCAGGGAGCCGTGTCCTTGCTTCCTGGCTTGTTGGCTTTTCGCCACGAGCTGCACACTGCCCAGCGTGACCTTGAGCCCCGAGCTTCTGTAGCTCATCCAGTCTTCACGGGGACACTGGAGATAGGAGTGACATGTGTGACTTGCCTTTTGCAGACGGGGGGGGCTTTGCAAGTGTGAGGGAACTGCCCAAGGTCACGGGGCTTCTCAGCTGCAAGGGAGGCTGGAACGTGGCAAGAGGGTAACCCCCATGCTCCCCGTGAGCTAACCGTCTGATTGTTAGGTTCGTATCCTGGAATCTTGGGACCTGTGAAATAAATCACACAATCGACAGCAACTACAAAAACCAATGAAATAGGTATGTCTAACCCTTATGTGGTCGTAGGCTCTCTGACCTTATGTGGCCATAAGTTCTCGAACCCTTATGTGGCCATAGGCTGTCTAGAGAGAACAGAGAAAAATGATGCCTGTGAGGAAAGAGTAGTCGCAATTTAAATAGTGTCAGAAGACAGCTAAGAAAATGACTGCGGCTTAATGCCAATCAGTAACAGTTCTGAAGGACCTGAAGAAGCCAAGTAGACATTTTGGGAAAGACTTCTAGACAGCCATATACAGCTGTCATCTCTTGTTTACATGGTCCCCCTACATTCTAGCCCTGGTCCCTTTAAAAGATTGTTAAGTGGGTGCCTGCTACCAGATACCCCTCCAAATAGAGCTCTGTGGTTGGTGTCTCCCCCTGGGATTGGCCATGTGTCTTGCTTTGGCCATAGGAAAATGGGACCAAGTAGTAGACACCCTCGTGTGGAAACATTAAGTCTTGCATTCTAGAAGCCATCTGCAATGGATAGATGCCTACGTAGTGATGGGGCTTCCAGGAGAAGGGGGGGGGCTGGAGATACCTGGGTTGGAGAGGGGCCATGCTGGTGTATCAGTTCCAACTCCTGGTGTCTCAGTCATGTGTTTCTAGCTGCAGTAAGGGAACCTCCCAGCTGAGCCTACTCAACCCTCAGATTTATGACAAACCAGTACACATTGCATTTGTCTTAAATTGCTAAGTTTTGTGGTGTGTAATCACGAGAGAAAAAGCAAACAAACAAACAAAAAAATCACTTCATCTGGGCCTGGAGAGCTGGCTCAGAGGTTAAGAGCACTGGCTGCTCTTCCAGAGTTCAATTCCCAGCAACCACATGGTGGCTCCCAACAGTCTATAATGAGATTTGGTGCCCTCTTCTGGCCTGCAGGCACACATGCAGGCAGAATGTTGTACACATAATAAATAAATACATCCTTTAAAAAAATCCCTTCATCCCTTCTTTACTAAAATCTGCATACCCCAGGCCAGGTCAGGTCATCTGTACTGTGACAGCCTCAGGTTCCGTGTGTCTGTCCTCTGTCACCAACATCTGTTGATCTAGTCTCGCTCAAACCTGACTATCAGGTTCTGGACGGAGAGACACTTCAACTCTCTGGGTTAGAATCGGAAGAGAACTGGGTGCAGAAATGGTGCTCCTGTCTGCTGCTCAAGGGCGCAGTGACTCCTCCGTCATCCCAGGCCTGGATTGGAGCTGTCATCGTGCTGGTCATTACACCGGGAAGTGACTTCCCACGGCCTTGGACCTTGTGCCGGACCACAGGACCACAGACACACACCCCCACACACCTCTTTGTACTCTTCCTGGTATGGTTATATGATTGGTTTCATCCTCAGTTCTCTCTCTCTCTCCTCTCTCTCGTGTGTGTGTGTGTGTGTGTGTGTGTGTGTGTGTGTGTGTGTGTGTGTGTGTTTACATGTGGGCATGTGCACATGAGTGAGCTGCCTGCCCAGGCCAGAGGCCTCCTATTCCTTAGCAATGGAGTTGCAGTCGGTTATAAGTTGCCAAACATGGGTTCTGGGGGGAGAAATTTGGGGTCGAGAGCAGTAGGAACTCTTAATTGCTGAGCCGTCTCCCTGGCCTTCATGCTTTCTGTTGTCTGGCTCGAATCTCCCTCCTATCCTGCAGGGCAAGGGTTTCTGTTAAGTTTCATTCATGTATTTGTTTGGAGGTGTGTGGGGGGGGGGAGAGGGAGAGAGAGGAGACAGAGAGAGGAGAGAGAGAGAGAGGGAGGGAGAGAGAGAGGAGAGAGACAGAGGAGAGAGAGAGAGAGAGAGAGAGGGAGGGAGGAAGAGAGAGGGAGAGAGACAGAGGAGAGAGAGACAGAGGGGAGAGAGAGGAGAGACAGAGAGAGAGAGAGAGAGAGGACAGAGAGGAGAGAGACAGAGGAGAGAGAGAGAGGGAGGGAGGGAGGGAGGAAGAGAGAGGGAGAGAGAGGAGAGAGAGAGAGAGAGAGGAGAGAGACAGAGGAGAGAGAGAGGGGGGAGGGAGGGAGGAAGAGAGAGGGAGAGAGACAGAGGAGAGAGAGACCGAGGGGAGAGAGAGGAGAGACAGAGAGAGAGGAGAGAAGAGAGAGAGAAAGAGGAGAGAAGGAGAGAGGGAAGGAAGGAGGGAGGGAGAGAGAGCACACAAGAGTTGAGGTCTGAAGACATCTTGTGGAGTGAGTTCTCCTTCCACCGTCTCTGAGGAATCAAACCAAGGTCTACAGGCGAGGCAGGCACTTTGGCTCCAGAGCCATATTGCTGACCCATGATTTGTTCTTGGTGTTGCCCGTTTGTTGCCTGTTAAAGATAGCCGTGTTGGGGCCGGGCGTTGGTGGCGCACGCCTTTAATCCCAGCACTCGGGAGGCAGAGGCAGGTGGATCTCTGTGAGTTCGAGGCCAGCCTGGTCTACAGAGTGAGTTCCAGGACAGCCTCCAAAACAATACAGAGAAACCCTGTCTCAAAAAAAAAAAAAAAAAAAAAAAAAAAAAAAAAGATAGCCGTGTTGAAACAGGACTCTGAATAGTTAAGTTTTAGTTTGAGAAGTACTTGAAAACGTTGTTTTGCTTTTTCAGTAAGAGAGTCTCCGTTTCACAGGGCGACTTACAAGCTCATGTTGAGAAATCTCACAACAGTAAGGGGCTCTGGGGTGTTGGGTGTGGCTTCCAGTGGGAGCCGGCCATTCCGGCTTGAAGGACGGATTGCCCAGTGTGAGGTGTGCCGGGAGTGACCCCGGATCTCAAGCATCACAACTGCAGAGTGGATCAATCTATTGCACAACTCATTCTTTGGTACAGGGCCCAGCACAGAGATAGCTCAATAAGCATGCATTGTCTGGGTGAATGACATGCCTTTATGAGCATTAGGTGTCTGTCTTCTCTCTGCAGGAAATATGATAAACGGGCAAAGAAACACCAGAACAAAGACGTTACTGCTGTCAGGAAGGTAAAAAGTTTGATCCTCTCAATTCCTGTCAAGTTCAATGTGCAAATGAATTTCACAGCAAATACTCTGTTGAATAAAGACATTTGTCAGAGCTAGTTCTTACTACTTGTTGGGAATTTGACTTGAAATTTAAATGCAATGGTGAATTTTTTTTTCCTGCTTTGTTTTTTGAGACAGGGCTTTTTATTTTCCTCTGTGTAACAGCTCCGGCTGTTCCTGGAACTTGCTTTGTCAATCAGGCTGACCTTGAACTCACAGAGATCCACCTGCCTTTTCTTCAGCTTTAATGTATTGTGTTATTGTCTTTCTGAGGCGAACCCTTAGGAGAGTAGTATCCAAATTCCTTCATTCCCAATGTGTGTAGCTAAGGTCCTCTTCTGCTTTTTAATCATGGCTTTAACTGTATCCGGAAGTTTTGGTGAGTACCACTTTCTTTTTTCAAGATTTATTTGTTTACAGTGTTCTGCCTGCATGCACGCCTTCAGGCCAGAAGAGGGCGCCAGAGCTCATTACAGGTGGTTATGAGCCACCACGTGGTTGCTGGGGATTGAACTCAGGTCCTCTGGAAGAGCAGCCGGTGCTGTTAACCTCTGAGTCGTCTCTCCAGCCCAGGTACCACTCAAAGTATTTCCTGATTTCAGTTGTGATTTCTTTCTCGGGCCTGACTCAGGTGTGTTAAAGTTTCACGCATACATAGGATTTCTAGCTAACATTTAAAAATAAAAAGATTTGTAGTGCAGTTCTCCACTGAAGATAATGCTTAGTCTCATATCTCTCCGACAGCACATGAACCCTTTCAGTTTAACTCTAACTGTACTTTAAAAATGTCCATCTGGCCGGGCAGTGGTGGCGCACGCCTTTAATCCCAGCACTGGGGAGGCAGAGGCAGGCGGATGTCTGTGAGTTCGAGGCTGGGCTGGACCGACAGCCTCCAAAACAATACAGAGAAACCCTGTCTCGTAAAACAAACAAACAAACAAAATGTCTGTCTGCTCTTGGTGCGAGGTATCCTGCCTATGTTAGCCTGACAAACTTATTAGTTGTCTTAGTCGAGCGATTTTTATTTAAGATTTTACTTCCAATTTCAAAACTTTAAGAGTTTTGTTTTCTTTTATGCACATGAGTGTTTTGCATGTAAGTGCACCATGCCTCCAGGAGGTCAAAGGAGAGCATCAGATCCTCTAGAGCCCGAATAACAGGCAGTCCTGAGACTGTTTCAGCTGGTGTCAGCCTCAAGGTGTTAGCTTGCTTACCAACAAACAACACCTGAGGTTGTCCCTGGAAAGGAGAGGCGAATGTGAAAATTCCAGATAAAAGGGAATGCATCCCAGAGGCCGCTCGCTGAGCTGGTGTTAACAAGAAGTCACGACAGCTGATTGTTTAAATAGCGTCTCCACCAAAAAGCTCGATCATGCCCCATCCATCCTAGCTGTAACTTTAGGCTGTCTTTTAGTCCTTTAAGTGTGGTACCCTCCTCTCCTTCCTTCCCTTCTTTCCTTCCTTCCTCCCTCCTTCTTTCCTTCCTCTGTTGTTAGTTTTGTGTCTGTGTGTATATGTGTCTGTGAGTGTGTGTGTCTGTGTATGTCTGTGTGTGTGTATGTGTGTGTTGATGTGTGTGTATGTATGTATATGTGTGTGTATGAGAGAGAGAGAGATAGAGATAGAGATAGAGATAGATGAGAGAGAGAGAGAGAGAGAGAGAGAGAGAGAGAGAGAGAGAGACATCAATTTTCTAACTGAGACTTTGGTTCTGAGCCTGACCCCAGTCTGAGGGAACTCAGTCACTCCACCTTCTACCGTGGACCCATGCAAGAAGTCTGGTTTGCATCCATCCTAGACACCAGCCGTGGGGAACCTTGGGCCTGAAGAGAGCACCATGCCCAGTGAAGACCAAACAGCAAGTCTGAGGGTCGACAACAAACAGATGAGGCATACCCTGAGTGAGTGTGGCTGAATCTAGTCCTTCCGCCCATGTGGAAGGCAAAGCAGGCTACAAGGAGACCTTTGCATGTGGCTTGTCCCCCAAAGGCTTCTGTGCTGACAGCTTGGCCCCTGGTGTAAATAAATGGAGTTGATTAAACCATGATGAGACAGGGCCAAGGGGGGGGGGGTCACTGGAGGGAAATCCGGTCTCCTGGAGTGAGTTCTCATGAGAGCCCGTTGTTATAGGTGGATCCAAACACCAGCAGCTTCCTCTTCGATGGTATGTACTCTTCCTCGCAAATACACCCATACCATTGCCAGGAAGTTCTCAGCAGGGCCGAGCTGAGCTCATCCCCCAGTGCCGTGCCTCCAGAGCTGTGAGAACATCTTTCTTTATAAAACGTAGCCCGCCTGCAGTATTTCATTATAGTTATGGGAAGCAGGGCTGACGCACCTGGAGTCCCGTCTAGGCATGGCGAGCATCCAAGAGGGAGACCCCCGAGCGTGTCTCCATGCTCTGCGTTGACTCGTCTGTATGGAGAGGAGGTTGGATAAAGCCATCACTGCATCCAGGAATTAGTGGACAGGGGTGGACGCATCGGAGTTTGAACGGAAAGCCAGACCTTTTCATCTTGTTCGTCTTGGGAAAGAGACCCTTAGCTTTTAAGATATCTGCTGGGATCCATGCCCTGGACTCAGTCTCCATAGTGCAGAGACGCCTGATACCCGTAGCATGTGGTCTGGCGATCCCTTGATCTAACATGCTAGCTACCTTGCGTTTCTTTGGGAGGGATCAGGCCGAGAGGAAAGGATGGCGGGGTGCGGGTCAAGCAACAGGGGAGAGGTTTTGTCATGCCTCCTTACTGTGCAAGTCAGATCGTCTAATCTGAGGAATGCCGGGTAATCAAATAGAGCTGCTAATGGTGGGAAACAGAGCCGGCGGGAAATGAGAAGAGAGATTGGGCTAGATATTGAATCACCTTCTCCCCTCTGAGGCCACTGTTTCTTCCTTATCCCTGATGAAGAAGACAGGACCCGGGGGCCAGGTGGCAGCCTGTATCCAAGTACTGGAAACCCTGCCAGGAAACACTCCCCAGGAAATGGCAGACAGGGGGGAGGGAGCAAGAAGCCAGGGCCAGTGAGTCTGAAGGAAACCCAGGAACCAGCCTGGAGGGCTGTGGGTAGGTCAGGGTCCAGCCTGGAGGGTCATGGAGGGCAGTGGGCAGACCAGGGACCAGCCTGAGGGCCATGGGCAGGTCAGGCGCCAGCCTGGAGGGCTGTGGGTAGGTTGGAGACCAGCCTAGAGGGTCGTGGACAGGTCAGGGGCCAGCCTGGAGGGCCGTGGGCAGGTCAGAGGCCAGCCTGGATGTTGGTGGACAGCTCAGGGACCAGCCTAGAGGGCCATGGACAGGAGCCAGCCTGGAGGACAGTGGGCAGGTTAGGGACCACCAGAGACAGCTTCTGTACTTCTGGCTATCTTGGAGATGTACCTGGCCATTAGGAAACTGCCAGATGAGCTGGGCAGTGATGGCGCACATCTTTGACCCCAGCACTCAGGAGGCAGAGGCAGGGGGATCTCTGAGTTCAAAGCCAGCCTGGTCTAGAATTCTAGGACAGCCAGGGCTACATAGAGAAGCATTGTCCGTGAAGCTAGAGTTGAAGTTATCTGCTCATGGTTTTGTGGCTCATCAGTGAAGTGGGCTCTACTTGGAGGACTTGTGCTCAGATCCATGATAACAGCTAAGCCTGCAGACCATGGTGATGGGATCGTTAGTGACTGCTTAACCATCTCAAACCACAGTTAAGCAGAAGGTATCAGTTGTAATAACAATAGTCGCTAAGTGTTGACAGCTGCAGATTACTGTTATTGGGACGGTCAGACGGTTTGGTGGGTAAAGTCGCTTGCTGTATAAGCCTGGCAACCCTAGTTGGATCCCCAGGAGGGAACCCATGCCACAGAGTTGTCTTCTAATCTTCATACATGCACTGTGACCCACAGGGCCACATGCGTCATGTATGCGCACAAAGAATAATTAAAAAAAACCGTAATAGGTATGTCAGCTATCTGCAATATCCCAATATCAGTTCTTATGGCTTTAAAGATTGTGTGTGTGTGTGTGTGTGTGTGTGTGTGTGTGTGTGTGTGTGTGTGTGTGTAAGGCGGTAAAAGATGTCAGATTCCCTGCCAGAGACGTAGACAGTTGTGAGCCACCCAGTATGGGCTCTGGGAACCAAACTGTAGTCCTCTGCAAGATTAGCAAGCATTCTCAACCACTGAGTCAGCTCTTAAGTGCCCATATTATTACAAAAAGAGACAAAGAGTCTTGTGTTCTATACCCTGTCGAAGGCTACACGGGAGTTCAAATAATCCATCTTTTGGATCGATGTGGGCAGTCAGACGCACAAGCTCCGCGGATGACTGTTGAGCTACACTCAGATTTTCTACCTCTCTCTGACCCAGCAAAGCACTTAACCCAGAACCCCGTGTTAACATCAGTGTCATGCTGTAAGTCCTTAAGGACAGTTTTCTGTCAGTTTGACACAAGTGACGTCATCGGAGGGGAGGGAACCTCAATTAAGAAAGTGCTTCCATAATGTCAGGCAAGCACGAGCTGGACGTTGGTGGCGCACACCTTTAATCCCAGCACTCAGGAGGCAGAGGCAGGCGGATCTCTGTGAGTTCGAGGCCATCCTGGTCTACAGAGCGAGTTCCAGGACAGACTCCAAACAACAACAAAGCAAAACAAAACCAACAAAAAAGATCGGGCAAGCCTGTACGGCATTTCCTTAATTAGTGACTGATGGGGGAGGGCCCAGCCTGTTATGAGTGGAGCCAGTCCTGGGCTGGTGGTCCTGGGTTCTGTAATAAAGCAGGCTGAGCAAGCCATGGGGAGCAAGCCAGTAAGCAGCTCCCCTCCATGGCCTCTGCATCAGCTCCTGCCTCCAGGATCCTGCCCTGTGTGAGATCCTGTCCTCACTGTTTTTTGATGATGCACTTTGAGTGAAAGGAACCATTTTTTCCCCAAGTTCTTTTAGTTACGGCGTTTCATCGGAGCAAAAGTAACCCTAAGTAAGACAAGGACCTTTCCAAAAGAGTAGTGTTTGGCACATGACAAGATCTTCGGTGATTTGGATCTTGGAGTGGTTTGGTCTCTGTCTAATCTGTGCCTGGGCTTGAAATGTTTACTGTGCATGGCCAGGGAGCCCCAGGGAGAGGCAATTCAATATTACATCTGTTTAGAAAAATAATAACAGCAGTGTCACCCCTGGAGCCTGCAAGCTGTCTAACTCCTAGTTCTTAGCTAGACTTACAGTACCAAGTGTCGGTTGTCTCCTACGAAGCTGGCTTCAGATCCCGTCAGAAACCTACCAGTTACCCGTATAGCAGGAGCTACTATGGCACCTGTAAGGCGTATCTTGCCATGGTGGTCATTACGGTAGCTCCCAGTGTTCTCAGCTGGGCAGGAGTGTTTATCCCCACCCCGACCCGTGAAGCAGCTTGCATTACACCTCCCAGCGCTAGGAAAGCCAGCCAGCACGAAGGAAGCTTTCCCTGGTCAGCACCAACGCGATTGCTCCACGTTGCGTGCCCAGCTTTGGATGCTTATAAACAGGCGTTGGCGTCTTTCATGCTGTAACTCTGCTTTGTAAACCTGGACCTCGGCCAAATCAGTTCATTCTGAATGTTCATTGAGGAACTGGACCAGATCAGTGGCCAGCGGTCTGTCACTGCAAAGGACCCCGTAGCTTGCAAGCCACCCGCTGTTCGTCAGCTCTTCAATACTGCTGCTGCAGCACCAAGGGCAATGCAGAGGCCGTGCAAATCTAGAGCTGCTGGGCTCTGACGCAACCCCAGTTGCAGGCATGGAGATTTATGTTCCGTGTACTTTGCAACTCGCATAAAAAAAACAAAAATAAAAACAAAACCTTCCCCTGGCAACTACTTAAGACCAGAGAAGCCATTCCTAGTATGCAGGATCTATGAAATCAGCCAGCCAGTCAGATTTGGGCCTGGAATGAATGATTTAAGTTTTTTCTCTCTTTTTTTCAGAGTGTCATGACATTTCAGAACAGGGGCGGTGAGTGTTAAAATATGGCAAGTACAGACATGCTACAAAAGCAAACAGTGGACCTACAAAGGTAAGGTAACCTCTCTCCACTGAGCAAACATGCTTACTGAACTACACCATTTAGCAAAACGAGGCAACTTTGACAGTTGCAAATTAGGGAATAACTCTGGGTGTAGCATTTTAAGTCTTCGTATTTTAAGTCAAAGCTCACTGCCCACTTGTCTCAAACATGCTCTTCCTTGCTGTAACGATCAAAGCCAAATTAGCTGCTTAAATTGACCCACTGGTGACGTTTAGAATAAAAGGAAAATGTATTGAGGAATTTTATCTTGACATTTTCTTGACTGGATCATATTTGTGTGTGTGTGTGTGTGTGTGTGTGTGTGTTTTAAGATTTATTCATTTTGCCGGGCGTTGGTGGCGCACGCCTTTAATCCCAGCACTCGGGAGGCAGAGGCAGGCGGATCTCTGTGAGTTCGAGGCCAGCCTGGTCTACAAAGTGAGTTCCAGGACAGCCTCCAAAGCCACAGAGAAACCCTGTCTCGAAAAACGAAAAAAAAAAAAGATTTATTCATTTTTTATGTATACAGTGTTCTTTCTGCCTGCATGCATGCCTGCAGGCCAGAAGAGGGCACCAGATCTCATTACAGATGGTTGTAAACCACCATGTGGTTTCTGGGAACCGAACTCAGGACCTCTGGAAGAACAGCCAATGCTCTTAAACTCTGAACCATCTCTCCAGCCCCTTATATTAAAGCCTCACAAATAACCACTTGGACAGAAGAACCATCAAGATGTGGTGGTTCTAATAAATTGTGTTTCGTATCCCCTTGTAAATGAATGACACGAGACCCGTATCTCCAACCTTATTCACAAACAAACTTGAAATAAAGGACTTAAATGCAAGACTCAAGACTGCAAAAGTGCTAGAAAGGAAAACGGTAGACGTACTTCATGACATTTCGGTGAAAAATATATTTTTTAAAGTAACCACTTCAAAAGTCAGGCAACAAAAACAAATATTGGTAAATGGAATTTCATCAAAGTAAAAACCTTCAACACATCAAAGGAAAAAATAAAAACAAAAGGGAAAGAGACAGTCTACAGAATGGGAAAGAATATTTGGTTTCTCATTATACACCAGAATATTACTGTGTCACTGTATTTTGTAAATATGTGTCATCAAGCCGGGCGGTGGTGACTCATGCCTTTAATCCCAGCACTCAGGAGGCAGAGGCAGGCGGATCTCTGTGAGTTGGAATCCAACCTGCTTTAATGAGCAAGTTCTAGGACAGCCAGGGCTGCACCAAAAAACCCTGTCCAAAAAAATAATAATAGTAGTAACTGAGACCCACTCTAGATAAGCTGGACTTAATACATGATATCTCTTCTCTTCAAAAAACCCCTACTAGGTATTAATACTAAGAGAAAAACATATCAAATCACCCATTGAGTATACAGGGAATACACCAAGCAGCATGAACTAAAGGTGCTCTCTTTTAAAATCTGACAATTTCCATCCACATGGGTTAGTCAGGTAGTAAAATGGATCACTGAAACAAAACCCCTACACTTCCTTTTGTGTGTATTAGAAATGAGCCAGGTATGGTGTTGCAAACCTTTAATTCCAGCACTTGGGAGGAAGAGGCAGGAGGATCTGTCTGGGTTTGAGACCACTCTGGCTTATAAGTGAATCCCTTATCTAAGAAAATAAAAATAGTGCTTTGGTGCACGCATGTGCATGCACGTGTGTGTGTATGTATACATGCTTGTGTGTGCATGCTGTGTGTGCATACTGTGTGTGTGTATGTGTATGCATGCTGTGTCTGTGCATGCTGGGTGTGTGTATGCTGTGTGTGTATGTGTGTGCACATGCTGTGTGTGCATGCTATGTGTGTGTGCATGCTGTATGTGTGTGCATGCTGTGTGTGCCTGCTGTGTGAGTATGCTGTGTATGTATGTATGTGTGCATGCTGTGTGTGTGCATGATGTATGTGTCTGCATGCTGTGTGTGTATGTGTGTGCATACTGTGTGTGTATGTGTGTGTGCATGCTGTGTGTGTGTGCATGCTCTATGTATGTGTGTGTGCATGCTATGTATGTGTATGCTGTGTGTGTGCATGATATATGTGTCTGCATGCTGTGTGTGTCTGCATGCTTTAGCATGCTTTATGTATGTGTATGCTGTGTGTGTGCCTGCTGTGTGTGCATGCTAAATGTGTGCATGCATGCTATACGTGTGCATGTTGTGTGTGCATGCTGTGTGTGTGTGCGCCTGCTGTGTGTGTGTGATGCTGAACAATATATGGGGAATTCTCTTGTCCAGGCCTCCCCACGGTGCCACATGCAGCTGTTTTATAGGGGTCCTGGGGAATCAAACTTGAGTCCTTGCGATTGCCTAGCAAACAGTATCTACAGAGCCATCTCCCCAGCCCTCAAGCTTTTGATAATTAACTCTGGTCATCTGTGGATGGGGAATGCCCCCCCCCATTCTCCTCACATTCCTAAAGGGGGATGCTGACTGCTATCAGGCTAATTACCCGGCAACAAAAAGGCAATGGTTAACTTAGATTGACCCCAAACCCCACAGCCATGCTTCCTTCCTTCGTTGGCCTCTCTAGCCAGGCTGGAAGACTGATCCTGAGGAATGTTTACAAGAAAACTCCGAGGCAGCTAGTTAGCAGGTGCATGCAAGTGTGACCGCTCCTGGAGGGGTGGGGGAGGGGGGACAGACTGCATGGGACACCAGCCGACCTTGGGTGACAAACCCTCCCTCCTCTGTCACCGTTTGTTCTCTTCAATTCTGTCTCACCAGACAGGTCAGTGCTACGGGAGCGTGGCGTTCTTATTGATGTCCGCTGGGGGGGGCCTCTGAGCAGGCCACTTAAGGACCTTGGAGCCTCCCAAGGAAGGAAGAGCCGCAGGATGGCCCTCCTGGTGGCTGGAGGGGGAGCCCTCATTAAGATAATTTTGGGAGCATTTACACAGACGAAGTTCAGGGTCAGTGCTCAGTGTGGTCGAAAACCTTTGATACTTTCAGGAGGGAATCCAGACACCCATAGAACACCGGCAGAAGAGGCCGCGGAGAGAGAGGCCAAGGACTAGCGCAGCCGCGCAGGCTCATTAGAGAACCTAAGCAGCCGCGCTTGCTCCTAGCTGCTGTCCCTGGGCAGTGTGCTTAGCATACGTGCAAACGCGGCTCTCCTCTCTCTCTCTCTCTCCTCTCTCTCTCTCTCTCTCTCTCTCTCTCTCTCTCTCTCTCTCTCTCTCTCTCTCTCTCTCCCTCCCTCCCTCCCTCCCTCCCTCCCTCCCTCCCTCCCTGCAAACGCGGCTCTCTCTTCCTCCCTCCCTCCCCCCCTCTGTCTCTGTCTCTGTCTGTCTGTCTGTCTGTCTGTCTCTCTCTCTCTCTCTCTCTCTCTCTCTCTCTCTCTCTCTCTCTCTCTCTCTCTCTCTCTCTCTCTCTCAATCTCACTGTGTAGCCCTGGCTGCATGGTGATCAGAGAAGTGATTTGCAGTCATAGAAGGAAGTAAGGCTATCATAAACATTACAAACCCCGCGCTACCTCACAGGGGTCTAGACGCGAAGGGGATGCGGTGGTGAGCCGCCTTTGAAGCATTAGAAGTTTAGGAAAGCATGGTCGGTCGGCTCTCCCTGGCAGGCAGGCACTTGGTCCCTCTGCTTTGTTCTCCTGCTCCTGTATCTCCACCTTTTCCTCCTCCAGCTGGAAACTCGGAACTGAGGCGATCGATCGGCTCCTTCCCCGCATATGAAAATCAATTGTCAGCCAGGAGCGGGTGGCGTACACCTTTAAAGCCAGCACTGGGGAAGCAGAGGCAGGTCTGTGAATTCAAGGACAGCCTGGTCTACGAAGCCAGTTCCAGGACAGCCAGAGTTGTTATACAGAGAAACCCTGTCTCAAAAAGAAAAGAGAGAACAAAGAAAAGAGAAGAAAAAGAGAGATAGAGAGAAAAGAAAAAAACCAATAGTGACCTCGAACTCACAGAGATCCGCCTGCCTCTGCCTCCCAAGTGCTGGGATTAAAGATGTGCTCCACCAACACTCGGCCCAGGATCTCCCTTCTTAACATAAAACTACTATGTCTTTTCAAGTCTAAAATATATGGTAATATTGGGCATGGTGGCTCACACCTTTAATTCCCGCATTTGGGAGGCAGAGGCAGGTGGACCTCTATGAGTTTGAGGCCAGCCTGGTCTACAGAGTGACTTCCAGGGCTATGTAGGGAGACCCTGTCTCAAACAAACAAACAAAAACAAAAACAAAAAGAAAGAAAATGAAGCCGGGCGGTGGTGGTGCACACGCCTTTAATCCCAGCACTCCGGAGGCAGAGGCAGGCGGATCTCTGTGAGTTCGAGGCCAGGCTGGACCGACAGCCTCCAAAACAGAGAAACCCTGTCTCGTAAAAACCAAAAAAAAAAAAAAAAGAAAGAAAGAAAGAAAATGAACAAATTAATATACGATTGTCTTGGCAACATCCAAATAGAACGAGGAGGCTGTCACTCCCCTTTCCTTGGCCAGCGTTCTAGTTGTCCCCTCTTATTGGAAGAGAGACAACTTCCCTCTTCTCTTTGTCCCTCCGCACGTGAGATCCACACTGCCAGGCCCACATGACCCCACACCTCTGGGTAGGTAATGGCTTCTTCGGGTCGATCAGTCCTTTCCATTTGCTCCTTTCCATCAGGCTAACTGCAACTATTCAGGCATTATGCCGGCCTGCCCCAGCCACTGCTAGAATGCATTCAGGCAGTGCCCTGGTCAGCCCAGGGTTCCATGATTGCTTAGAATGCACGCAGGTGCAAAGGACCCTTTAAAAGACAGACCCCGCCCACTTATGCTCTTTTTCCCTCTCTCTGCGGTTCTTCTGGGGCAGACAGGACTGTTCCTGTCTCACTCTTCTCTTCTGTCCTCTCTCTGTCTCTGTGTCCTCCTCCCCCCCCCTTTCTAATAAAACTTCTCACTAAGCTCCGTCTGCCTGGCGTGTTTGTCCCCAACCTCGGTCACCCGCGCCTGCCACGGAATCCTTCGGGCTGTGGCTCTCAGTTTCCCTCCATAGGAAGTTGTGGAATCCTTTGCTTTCCTCCAGGATCCTCTTGGCAGCACCCACCACCTCCCCTTAATCAGAGGAGTCCCAGTTTCTAGCCTGGAGGAGAGAGTGGGTGCTGAGTAAAGCTCTCTTTTTTTCTGGGAAGTTGGAGTAATGACGCAGGGAAGCGAGAATCCTACAGGTCGTCTCCACCATTGTCAGTGCCTACAGAAAAGACTAGGCTCAGGTTTCCAACAGTGTAAATGAAGATAGGAGAGCAATGAACGAATCCCGAGGACGTCCATCCTGTGCTCAGAGGATAGCAATAAAGCAAATTGAGAGCTGGGTGGTGGTGGCGCACGCCTTTAATCCCAGCACTCGGGAGGCAGAGGCAGGCGGATCTCTGTGAGTATGAGGCCAGCCTGGTCTACTGAGCGAGTGCCAGGATAGGCTCCAAAGCTACACAGAGAAACCCTGTCTCGAAAAACCAAAAAAGAAAAGGGAGAGAAGAAGGCAGTCGTCTTCGGCACATCTTCTTTCTCTTTCCTGCATCCTTTGTACGACTGCAGCTCCTTCTTGGCTCCATTCTGCCTGCCTGAAAGCCAGCCCCATAAGATCGCTCTCACTCTGTGGGACAGAGCATCCTTACTGCTAGGAAGTGCCTGAGATAGGAAGATGAGTGGCTAAGACAGACTGAAAAGAACCCACCTGTTTCTTGTCCTTGAATTAAATACGGAGCAGAGAGCCGGTGCCCAGGCTGTCCCAGCCTTAGCTGCCGATACTGCTATGTTCTATGTGCCAAGCTGGCCCAGGGAAGGGGCACTAACTGCTTGGACATCTGCCCAGCCATTGTGGGGTGCCAAGTCTCAATCTCACTTGTCCTCTCTCTGTCTCTCTGTCTCTCTGTGTGTGTGTGTGTGTGTGTGTGTGTGTGTGTGTGTGTGTGTGTGTGTTCTGATCATTGGCTCCTCCGATGACTAGGTAAAGAAAGGCAACGTTCCATGTGCTGCAGATAAAATCCCTGTGGAGATTTCTCTCTGCACTTGAGGACCAAGGAGGTGAGGACATCCCCAGCTCAGTCCATATGCAGCAGGAAGTGCTCGATGCCAAACAGCTGTAGGAACGGGGACAGCGACAGTCCACAGTAGTCTTGTCTTTTCTCCAAGCCACCCTGAACGGAGCTCAAGGAGATTTGGGCCTTGCCTCCTTACCCATCCAGGATTCCACCAGGCAAGGAGGTAGGACAAGGCAGGACCCCACCCCACTCCCCTGCTTGTCTAGGAAGACCATCACTCTATCAGAAAGGTCACCTTTCATTCACACAAGTCCCTCCTATTTTCCTAAGCGACTCTTCAGGTCTCCTGGATCCTAAGACTTCACTGAGCCTCTGCCGATGGCTAACTGGCCTTCTCAACCTCTGGACTGGAGCTGCCTGGAAGGAGACTCCAACACCCTCCCCACTCCAAGAATGTCCCACATAAAGTCTCATGTGGTGATACATTGTTTATGACTTAATCAAGCTTGCCTGGGGATCAGAATGCAAAGCCAGTCACACTAGTTAGCCATAGAGGCCAGGCAGGCAGTGGTGGCACACACCTTTCATCCCAGGACTCAGGAGACAGAAGGGCAGGCGGATCTGTGTGAGTTCAAGACCACCCTCGGCTGCGTGAGAGTGAATCAGTCTAAAAGAGAAACAGAGCTCACGCCTTTACTCCCAGCCCTAGAGCAGTATATAAAGAAGACGGAAAGGGTCTCACATGAGATTCAGTTTCCAGGCACAGGGTCTCCATTTCACCCTTGGTAGCGGAAAGAGCTGCTGGATGGCTGCTTTGCTTTCCTGATCTTCAGCTTGAACCCCAATATCTGTCCCTGTTTATTCTTTTAATCGTTTCTGCTACAATCTCACTCATGACTGTAGCCTATGACGCTATCAGGCTGCCAGCACTACGCAAGTGCGTGGTCTATGCTGGCTGCAATCTGGAAGCTGAGTGACCCTATTGTGTCTCACTCTTCAGTCAACCTCACCCCCTGCTTAAAATGCAAGATTTGCAGGGCGTTGGTGGCACACGCCTTTAATCCCAGCACTCGGGAGGCAGAGGCAGGCGGATCTCTGTGAGTTCGAGACCAGCCTGGTCTACATGAGCTAGTTCCAGGACAGCCTCCAAAGTCACAGAGAAACCCTGTCTCAAAAAACCAAAATAAATAAATAAATAAATAAAAATAGAATGGAAGATTCTGTAGCCTCCTGGACCACTACTTTTAAGATGCTCCATTCTTTCTTCCTAATCCCTCCTGTCTCTTATGTCTTCCTCTAAGTTTGTTTTCCATGTTCTCATATCTCGACACGTATCGACATGTATCTTCTGTGTAGTCACTTTGTGTAAAACTCCTCTCTTTACTAAAACCTGGCTGTCCCCACGGACCACTTGAAGTCCTGAGAAGAAGGAGGAGGAGGAGGAGGAGAAGAAGAAGAAGAAGAAGAAGAAAAGAAGAAGAAGAAGAAGAAGAAGAAGAAGGAGGAGGAGGAGGAGGAGGAGGAGGAGGAGGAGGAGGAGGAAGAAGAAGAAGAAGAAGAAGAAGAAGAAGAAGAAGAAGAAGAAGAAGAAGAAGCAGCAGCAGCAGCAGCAGCAGCAGCAGCAGCAGCAGCAGCTTACTCGGGCAGGTCTTAACAGCTGTCCCCTCACTGATCCCTCCTCTTCTATGGGGAGACTCAGATGTCCCAGGCCTCTCTGCTCTCGTAAGAGTTTTCCCTTCCCGGTGTTCTCAACCAATCAGAGAGCTCCAAAATTCACCTGTGTACTGACACCCCTCACATCCGTATGGCAATCCTGTGCCTCTCCCCTACACCCGGGCTGGCACGTCCAGCGGATAGCCTGACTAGCCACGCTGTTCAGCCCCGCCCCCCAGGAGCACCTGGGCTCCCGACCTCGCTTTCCCTGTGCTGGGCCTGCAGCCTGTGCCCCTTCAGGCTGCAGCTGTGTAAAGGTTGCTCAGGAGGAAACCCTGGGGCCTGCGTGACTCCGTACGAGGAGCCTGTTCTCTCTCACATCTTTCTGTCATTGGCAGATCACTGGGATCTGACCTCCGGAGCACACTTTGAATCTGAACACTGCTCCTCACGCGCTCCCCCTCCCCCCACCATCTCCTCAAGCCATTGATTGGCTTCTAGAGTCTGCTCGACTCGGGTTCCGACCTGAGCCAGAGCTTGTGGCTTCCTTGCTACAGATGGCCTGGATGCCTTCCAACCTCAGTAAAAGGCCCAAGTGCCACAATGACCTCGGGGTCCGAGCTGGCCTAACCCAGCCTTCCTGACTTATTTCCCACGGCTCCTCATAGCCTAGCCGCCTTCCAGCTGTTTCTCAAATCCCCGGGCCCGGGAGGGGGGGGGGCTCCGTGCAATCTTCCCTGTTTCATGCCTACGCCTCCCTCACTTCCTGCACACCCCTACTCCAGTATCACCTCAGCAGCAAGGCCTCCCCTCAACACCCAGGGTGAATAAACAGCAACCTGACTCTTGCCTCCCACTGTTGTTCTCCTGTCTGTTACTACAAACAGAAGGCTTGCTGGTCAGGCCTCCTGTCAAAGCTGGCTTGGCAGGCGGAAACCTTGTCTGTCTGACTGATGGCTTTCCTCCAGGGCCTAAACTCACCAGGTAGTGGTGGATGCTCTACATCTAGAACGGTGATGGTGTGTGTGTGTGTGTGTGTGTTTCCTAGGGACGCAGCCCTTTCTTGCTTGAAATAAGAGTTGAAAGTTCAGGGGATGTGAATGTCTGGAG